TGCGATTGAATCTCAGGGTTCAAGATTTTTCTCCAAGGAAAATGTAAGACTATTTCAAATTTTCTAAAGTTGTGCTATGAGGAAAATGTTCAAAAGGATAATGTGGGAATAATGTCAGATAATTTCAAATTTTCTCAAAATATGCCGTGGGAAAAATCTATGACTTTGTGCTGTGAAAGTTACTGGTGCATATCTATGAAGAGCAATTGCTATGCTTATAGCTGTACTGTCCTGATGGAGAAGAAGGTATCGCAATAGGAATCCTGCGCGCGTCTATTTACCAAGGATTATCCACCCCTGTTGTTTGTCCATGTTAAGCATTTTATAGCACTTTCTGTACACAAAGGAAAATTGGAGATGGCCTAGCACTTCACAAGTGGCGGTAACATAAATATCTTTCGTGCTCGCTGCTCATGTTGGCTGGCAATTTAGTATTGGGTCGAATGGGCTAGTCGTTGTGACCAAAAGAAGTCGCGAAAATGATGAGAGTGGGATTCGAACCCACGCCCCGGAGGACCAGATTTCCAATCCTAACGGAAGAGAATAAGTGGACACAATCTGCCCTGGTCCTTAGTCTGGCGCCTTAGACCGCTCGGCCATCTCACCACGTAGTAAAGTACTCGTACGATGAACCATATTAACTTATGATCACACGTTTAATCTTTGACCGGACAATAATCTATTATCTATTACCATTGGTAGACAAGAAGAAAATTTTACCTCTATTCTGTCATAACCTGTCTGTTTCACAGAATTTGAATAAGAGAATGAAGAGCGTAGATAGTAGAATATTTCAATCCATCCCGAGGTCTTTCTTTTCCATCTTTTTGCTCGGAGCCGCATTCAGATAGTGGGGCTCGCCCAAAAAGTCCGCAATCGATCTATTGGAAAATACTGTGTTAGTGGTCGTCCTAGGTACCGGCTAGAGAGTAGGAATAGATCCTATAGTACCTGTATACCTAGGAAACAAAAGAATAATAATTGCGAGTGGCCTCACTTCGGTCCTCACAATCTGAGTAGGAGGCTGCTAAGAGAATGACGAATTATCGAGGGAGTTGGGTGGAAAATGGTGCGATGGGAACCGTAGGACGAAGGCTGAGGAGTTGGCTGACTGATAGAGCGACGGAGAAGACGACGGGTGCGCGATGGGCACGACAGAGACGATAGAGACTGAGGAGGACTACTAGAGAAACGCTAAATAGCTGCCCGATCGCAACTAGAATAGCTCGACAACGAGAGCTCGGAAAAATATGAAACAAGATAGCGTAGAAAGACCGGAAGGAGCGCTAGATGATGCAAAAAGACCGAAGTCGTTTTGCTTTGTCGTCGTCGAAAGCGTCGCAATTTATTGAGGAGGATGATTTGCTAAGATCCAAACTCCAAGAACTGGAATTTATTTCATAAAATCGAAGAGGTTGTGTAGCGATTGAGTACAGAGAGTATGGAGGGGGTGTAGGGTACTCTGAACTACTGAACTACGAAGAAAAACTACGATCTTTAAGTATGTAGAAAGGTTCTAACAAAAAGAAGTAAAGTAGAAGTAAGATGTACAAAATCGAAGTAATATGGAAACCCAAGCGGCTGTAGACACCAGACCGGCTCATGGGACTCGATTCATGTGGATAAAACTACTCCTATGTTAAATAAATCTTTTAGATGTCTTCAAAATGCGAAAAATACGAATCATATCAAAAAAATAGACTATCCAGCGATTGACTCCGTTGTTCCGAGCTCAAACAGTATTTTCAAATGATTCTGAGCTTCCTGATCCGTTCCGAATCTTCCCCGACGATCCCTGATCGAAAATGGATATACTGAAGTCGATTTAGCGGCGGCAGGACCGAGTTTCCGAGTACAGAGCCTTGCAAGGCTCGTCAGCAGCCTTATTGTAGTCAACAATTCTGTACCGAACCTGTCTTGAAGCCTTGGAAAGAGGTGTGACTGGGTTTGCATCACTTGCTTAGTAGCTATGTCAAATATTGCATGTAAGCAGTTTTTCCCATGGTATCACTACATCATGACACGCGGAGAGAGAAGTTTCTGTGCATAAACATCGGCAACTTCCCCAATGGCATGATGAATATTCGCATTCGCCAAAGAACCCGCTGAGTATAGTGTGGTCCTTTCAGGAGGATCGATGAGCTCATAGCTCAAAGGAACCTCTCCGAATATTTGAATTTTATGAAACTCTTCTGGCACCACAAATCTTGACGCTAGGTAGACATCCGAAAGTGGAAGCCAATGCACAATATAGACAGAAAATATAGCATCTTCACTCGATTGAGATGCATCTGTGAATTCACGGCACAATAATGCCTCTATTGCACGCTTGTTGAAGAATTGTAGATTCCATTCTGTCACGACGCGAGCGATACCGGCATGGCGAGTGATGTTTTCATTATTCGGTCTAGTTTGGTAGCCTTCCCACAGGCTGGATAAATCCTAACGAACATTGTCAGTTATATTCTCCCTCGATGAATTGAGAAAGTAAAACAAACGGTTATAAAGGCTTTCCATTCCTCGAGTGATACTTGATAATCCAAAAGGAATAACGGAGCCTCCTCAGCTATGCAACGTTCTTTGTGCAGAGTGACAACTTTCGTCGGATCAAATTTTGGTGCGTACGGCATAGATAATTCGGTGATCGGGGTCAAAGGTGTTGCTGGTGCAACCACGATACTAGGAGTTCCTGTTGATATATAAGAACTGTTGTCTTCGTCTACGTTGATGTTTGGAGCTATGTGGGGAGAACGAATAAAAGGCTCAACATGGAAATTCGTTGCCCTCGAATTCATCGTAAAAATATCATACTCTTCTGGTCTCCTTCGTATAAATTCCTGTTCGCGCCATCTATGGACTCTTACTTTCCAATTTTCGTCGAGCTGGTCACCATAGTATCGAAGGGTGGTGAGGATGAAAATGAAATAAAAAGAACCCAGCCCAAGAAGAGCTGTGATTGCGATTCGAGGGCCTAATGCTTGTTCAGGTGTGAACGTTGCACGATTTGCGTCTGTCGTCGTTCCAGTGCGCCAAACGAAAGACATAACGCAGATAATATATAAGATAATAGACCTGTAGAATTATTTTATAGTTTAATCGTCATCTATTGAAGGAAGAAACTAACCACGCAAGCCATGTTGCAGGCATCGCCAATAGAACCCATACATTCCAAAAGATAGATGTTTTGGTCCGTTGGGCTGCCTAGATTTGAGAGTAATGAGAGATAGTTTTCAACGAAATTAATATCGTATGCATACCTCTGCCCACTCCACTGCCTTGTGGGTCTTTCTCATTGAACTGAATCGAATAATAAACATACACCCGTAAAGCAGACTTGTTAGAGCGCAGATAAGAGATAGCAACGCAGAGAAACGAGTTAGAAGGTCGCTTGCTGCGGCCTCAATCTGTAACATGCTCAGGATGGCCCTAATAAGAGGCAAATGTGAATAAATACGTGCCAAGAGTGACTAAATGCACTCACGAGAGCAGTAAAACAGATACAATATTCAGTGTTTTCCACTCTCTCATCAGAGAGTCAATGAAATATTCCCAAGATCGCTTTAGCCGAAGATAACGAGGAGATTGAGCTTGTAAACGCCCGACAGAAGTCATCAAATATGTAGGCTCCTTCCAATCCATTCCCTCATCGTTTAACACCATGCTTTTGATTTCATTTATATTTAGTTTGGCTTCCTCGAAAATATAAACAACTCTAGAGAAGTAAAGAGCTGGGAGACGGAGAAGGATATGCAAATATATTTGCCGCAGTAGGAGATCAAACCAAAATGAGAGTTTAAGTAAGGGCGGCATATCGGCGTTCGATGTTGGCATACTCCCGAATACTTCCGCAGCGAGAGGAGGTGCAAAGGTGGTCAAAGGACTAGTCTTAGGGCGTTCAATGGTTGGTAGATATCGGCTACGAGGTACTGTTATGCTTGGAGCTGGCGTGTAAAAGGGGTTGATTGAAGTAAATCCTTCACTGGCTCCGGTCCTCGGCACTGGGACATCAGGAAATTGTTGACCAGGATACTCGGGCATAACGTTGGCAGAATTAACATGAGATTGTATGGATTTAATTGAGCTTGGTCTCCGAGGTTGTCTCAGAGGTATAGATGTTGCAGTGTTACCTTCACTTGGCGATGGGATTTGTCGATACTGCGGTGTGCTTGGACCCAACGGCACTCCAGAGGATACACTGGCGCTTTTGCTGGATACAGACATCGGTCGCAACGGCATTTGAGAGCGCAACAGTCCTTCAGCTAGTACAAAAGGCATATTATCCGCCGATTGTGTGCTTTCTGCGAAGCGTGCTGTATGATGGCTTGCGCGACTTCCAGAACGCTTCCCTCCCGGCGTCGACACGGTGTGCTCAGGGGCATTCTTTTCGATAACTGATGTATTTTTTGGGATGTCGAAACTTTTGCGAACTTCGACATCGTGATAGTCCGGAGTATCCTTCTGGTTCGAATCTAGTGTAGGAGGTATGTTATATGCCGGATTTGCATTCACGCTGAGCCTTCGACGCACCTTTGTCGGGAGACATCGTCGAACCAGACATACAGATGAAAGACGCAACCAATAATAGGTGATAGAGTAAAGAGCAAGAGTGAGGGTGGGAGAAGTGATGTCGGAGATCGCTCTAAAAACCTCCCGTTACAGGCGCTGGGGGAATTACTCTGCTGCATTTGTCAGCCTGTGAGCCATCACAAACTAAGCGACGGCCGTAAAGGAGTCTCACTGATTGCGGAATATCCACGTGAGGTTGTGATGAATCGGTCCTCGGAGGGATACCGCCAAAATTCTGATGGATTTCGACGGAGAAAGAGCCTAGATATGGCCCAGGCTCCTAAACAAGCCCCTCGTCTCGCGAGGTTGACTCAATAGTAAATAGTAGAGAGCGTTATCTAATCTTATCAAAATGTAAACAAAGACAAAGTGCATCTAAGGAATAGAAACTCGCGAGAGAGGGGCTTGCATACTTTGGACTCGGTGATCTCGGGCATCCGAAAACGGATGTCACGCTATCGGGGGCTTAGACATATCCATACCAAAAATTATATGCTCATATTCTTCCTCAATGCAACACGAACCACACTCAGAACCGAACAAATGGACAGTACACAAGATTCGAGACCTAGTTATGAAGAAATTCGGCAAACGAGCCTGCATTTACCAAGTCCGAGTGGCTACGAAGCTCTATGAGGGAAAAGATGTCATTGGAGGTGCACCAACAGGTGCCGGGAAGACACTATCGTTCTTCATACCCCTCCTCATGGCTCTCGAGGATAAGCTTGATAAAATGAGCATTATAGTGACACCATTGAATTTGCTTGGGAAGCAAAATGTCCAAACAGCGCTTGAAGATGCAGGCCTGTCTGCTATTGCGGTCAGCAAGGAAAATGCGAACAGAGGAACCTTTAAGGTAAGTATCCACACAATAATGCATAGAGAAGCTATGCTCACATTGTGTTAGGCTATTGAAGAGGGCAAATATCGCGTTGTTGTCATTAACCCTGAGATTCTCATGGGGAATCAAGAGGTTGAGAACCTGTGGACAAAAAGCCGAGTAACGAAACGAATTATGAACTTCATCTTCGACGAAGGAC